TACTGTCTTTGCTCGGTCTCACCCAAGAAGGTTTGCCAATGCTCCCACAATAACACGGGCCCTCACCGACTCACCGATGCCAAGAGCCGACACAGGCTGGTCTCGTGCGCTACGTCATAGCTGTATCACGTGATAATATGTCATTCCCAGCTGAGTCACCATTTATCGCTATGCCAGTGTTCATCAGTGTCCCTGTCAGTCGCACTATCAGGGTGATCACGATGCACGATGCACATTGGCGGCGTTTTTCTTTTGAAAAGGTAACTTAGGATAAATGCCAGAAATACGCCAGAGTCTCATGAACATGTATCAGCAAGATCCTACGTGGCCTTCCACCTGCACAGCAAACAGGCCAGCCGTCCGGTGCCACATCCCGATGTTCGTCCGAATCCGCCGTCAGCCCCCCGGAGCGCCACGGCTCGATCTCCGGCCATCTGCGCCACTTCGGCGGACCCACCTATGCCGGCCTCGGGATGCCTCGGTGCTCGCCCCCGTGCTTCGTGCTCACCTCCGTGCTTCGTGCTCACCTCCGTGCTTCCTGCCCTCGTGCCTACTCCCTCTTGATGAGGTGGTCAAAGTAGTCCCCCAGAAAGTACGCCGAGCGCTTCGCATACCGCGTCTTCTCGGGGCTGTCGAAATCGATCCACGTGGCGCCGAAGCGGTCCGAGTACCCTGCAGCCCACTCCCGTGCTGAGAGGTTAGCAACATGGTCAACAAAACAGGGGATGGGGAAGACGTATAGTTGTCGGTAAAGGTCCACGCAAAGTACGACTTGATCACAACACCCTCCTGCGACGCCTTGGCCACCTCGGTCAGGTACTCGCGGAAAAAGTCGATGCGGAACGGATCCTCGAGCACGTCGTCCGGGCCCTTGGGCTTCCAGTCGTGCTCGCCCTGCGCCGTCGTGCCGTTCTCCGTGATGTAGATGGGCACGCCGTACCGCGCCCAGATCCAACGCAGCAGCTTACCCCAGCCCCACGGCGTCGTGCGCAGCCAGTACGTGTCGCTCGCCGGCCCGCGCGGCGTGCCCTCGCTGTTCTCGTCCGCCTGCTCAATGTTGCCCTTGTGGTCGTTGATGTCGGCCGGCCCGTCGCGGTGCTTGACGTAAAAGGCCGAGTACGAGTTCATGCCGTACACCTCGGAGCTGCCGAGCACGAGCCTGCTCTCCTCCTCGGTGAACCGCGGCAGCCGGTCGCCGAGCTGCGCGCGCATCGACGCCGGGTAGTCGCCCGTTTTGTACAGCGGGTCGGCGAACCAGGCAATCTCAAACTCGCGTGCCCGCTCCGCCGCCTCGACGTCGCGCGCATCACCAGCGTCCCACGGCTCCGACCAGTTGCCGTGCAGTGTGATCATGACGGTGCCCTTCTGCGTCGGCTTGAACTCGCGCTTGTAGAGGTCGGCGGCGTACGCGTGCGCCACGAGCTCCGTGTGCGCCACGATGAACGGCTCCGTGCTCGAGTCGCCCTCGGCGTTGCGCTCGCGGAAGCTCGACCGCGCCGGCGCGTGCACGCCCGCCGCGTACCCGGCGAGCGTGTACACGCCGGGCTCGTTGAACGTGATCCAGTCCTTGACGCGGTCGCCGAAGCGCTCGAAACACAGCCTCGCGTACCGCACAAAAGTCGCGCGTGAACCGCGCCTTGTCGAGCATGCCGCCGTACCGGTCCTCGAGCGCCTGCGGCGTGTCCCAGTGGAACAGCGTCACGTACGGCGTGATGCCCTGCGCCAGAAGCCCGTCGATGAGCCGGTCGTAGTACGCCACGCCCGCCTCGTTGACAGCGTCGTCGGCGCCGCCCAACGGGATGAGCCGCGCCCACGACAGCGAGAACCGGTACCCCCGCGCCCGGTACTTTTTCAGCAGCGCCACGTCCGTCGCGTACAGGTCGTACGACCGCACCGCGTCGTCGCCTGTGCTGCCGTCCTTGACCTTGCCGGCTGTGTGCGCGAACGTGTCCCAGATCGAGACGCCCTTGCCGTCCTTGTCCCACGCGCCCTCGACCTGCGCCGCCGCCGTCGCCCAGCCCCAGACAAAGTCGGCCGGCAGCGAGCCCGCGAGGGCGGGGTCAAACTCGAATTGCGATGCCATGGTCGTATCTCGTGTGTGTGCTATCTCAGTCGCAGGTTCTCAGCTCTCTCTCTCTCTCTCTCTCTCTCTCTCTCTCTTTGTGTGTGTCTCTCTCTCTTTTGGAGAAACAGGGGCAATCCATCTGATTGAAGTAGAGCCGCCACGTCTTTCGAACAAGGGACGATCGTCAACAATGGACCCCACAACCCTGTGAGGGGTCGTGGAAGAGCGGCGCCCGGGGCATGGCCGCTGCGGGATGTGCGCCGCTTGATTCGTGGGGGACGTTGAATAGTCGATGGCGGCAACCCGTCGGGTCTCGACGACCCTGGCTATCGTGCTCCTTGTCGGCCAACCGACGGCGCAAGGTTGTCGGCTCGACCTCTGCCGGGCCGTTTTCCGGGCCGTCGTTCCAATGTCCATGGGAACACACAGGCGAGTGGGGTTTTGGACTTCTTGCTTGGCATCAAATATATGCACTCCACAGACGACTGTGGGGTCGAATGGAGGTAGCACAATCTGTATGTCTCCTGGGAGATTGACGAGCGGAGAAATGGATGATTCATTTGCTCTGGCCGCTGTGCGCATGGAATTAAGAGATGGTAGAATGCGACAAAGTCAGAATCGAGTACGCATACCCAGATCTGATCTACGTTTTCCGGCCTCCCACAACCTGGACAAGAGGTAGGACACTTCGTTCTCACAATACAAGTTGGTCTTCATGCAGCCATCAGTACAGATCCCAACATACGTAGATTAGCACGCCGATTTCACAGGGCACAAAATGTATGACAGCGCAATCGTATCAATTCAAGAACGAAAAAGTCGTCCTGTTAGAGACCGCGCAAGACACACGACGAAAAATCACATCTAAACCTGGACACCCGAAGAGTACGCAACCGGCTGCTCGGCTTGCCTGTCGAGCTTGTACTGCGCGTGCTTGGCGTCGGCAATCTTGACCGACAGCTTGACGGGGTTGGCGCCGGGCGTCTCGAATATGTGGTCAATCTCCTCGAGGTTGAGCTTGGACGTCTCGGGGAACCAGAAGTAGGCGGCGATAATCTGCAGCGTGTTGTACACAATGTAGACGGCCCAGATCTTGTACTTGAGCTTGTCGATGCCGACGGCGATGCCGTAGTTGTGGACCGTGCTGGCGCAGTTCTGGAAGAGAACGTAGAGACCTGTGATTGCCAACGTCAGAAGAATGTAACAGAGAGGAAATGGGACGAGCAAGACATACCCATGCCCTTCGCACGCAGCGGCAGCGAGAGGAGCTCGACGGGGTACAAGTTGTGCATGGTGGCGATGAAAGACGCGCTGCAGACCTGGAAGCTGAACATCCAGAACAGCACGAGGTACGCGAGGTGGCGGGGGTGGTCCTGCTCCTCAAATTGCCAGCTCGTGATGGTGACGCACGTCTGGGCGATGACGATGCTGATGAGGCCGGCGAAGATCAGGGTTCGTCGACGGAAAATGTCGATAATGTAGGCACCAAAAAGGGTGAAGACGAAGTACGTGCCACCATGCCGAGGTTGATGAGGAGCTGCGTCTGCTGGGTGTTGATCTTGATCGTGTCAAGGCGGCGAAAGGTAGAGACCGATGATGCCGCCGCCGTTCCAGGACTGGAAGATGGAGTACACAAGCAGAATGAAGGTGCGGTACCCAGCGCCTTGGTGAAGAAGACGCGGAAGTCCCAGACGGCGCGGAAGCCGACGGCCGACGTCTCAATCGACTCGTCCATCTGGTACATCATGAGATCGACAAAGGATGAGTTGGGGTCGCCCGAAGTCGTCATGTGGTCAGCGATGACCTTCCCTCGCCTTCTCCTTTTGTCCGCTCATCACGAGGTAACGCGGAGACTCGGGGCAGAGGAAGAAGATGGTGCAGCACACAAAGGCGGGGAACAGAGCCTGGATGAAAAAGGCCGTTCGCCACTGCCAGTTGCTGTGCCAGTCGGATATGGCGGCCATGATGCCGATGATGGCCATGGAACCGACCTGGAAGCAGGCACCAAAGACGCCGACAATGCGACCACGCATGTGAGGGGGCGCGACTTCGGCGATGTACTGACTCGACGTGCAAAGTCTGTGAACTCTGGTGTCAGCTCGGGATGCGGTGCCGGGAAAGGAGTCTCTACTCACGCCGTGCCGAAACCAAGGACAAAACGCCCAAAGATGAGAACGCCCGTGTTGGGCGCCATGGCCTGGATGATGGCAGCTATGACTGTGAGAGCACAGCCGGCAAAGTTGACGGAGCGGCGACCCCACTTGTCGGCAAAGGAGAGGAATGGGGCACCAACGGTGGCTCCGATCGTCATGAGAGCGTTGATGACGCCGATGATGTGACCCGAGTTGCCGAATCCGTAGTACTCGTGCCACATGTCGTTGGAGTTGATACTGCTGATGACACCCCAGTCGATACCATAGCTGTACAATTCACCGTCAGACAAGGGGTGCAAAGGCAAGGATCCAGTCAGCTACTGAGGACTTACCCAGCCTGGTTCATTCCCATGACGAGAAGGATGAGCACCATGCGGAAACCAGCCTTGGACCGCCAGGGAAAGCCTCGCGAGACTTGTCGTTCAAGTGGTCCTCGGTAATGCGGGTTGCGACTACGTCGACGACTTGCACGCCAGTCTTGTTGGCATCAGCCACGGCATCGTGGTAGACGTGGGAGCGTTCGACCTCGTTGCGAGGAGCCATGGTGGGCAACGTCAACCGTGGTTCAAGAGGAGGTGGTTGAAACAACGAGCTTCTGGTAGCTGGGAGGGCAGAGACTAGGACGGCAAAAGGCAAGAAACTCCGGAGGGGAGACAGGCCACACCGTCTGCTATATAGTTTGAAGGATCATCCATCCTGCCCACACTCCATAGTCAGAAAAGCTTCGGGACCCTGTCATGCAGTGCAGACATGCCGAGCCAACTGCAATCTGCACAATGCCTGCCATTCGAGACGCGGGATTGGGCTTCCGTGAGGGGAGCGGGGTCTGACTTTGCTCGCGAACCGTGCTCTCTCTCTCTCTCTCTCTCTAGCCAACGCTTTGCCTGGGCCAACCTACCTTACCTACTTCAAGCAAGGCGGGCTGAGATACCCCAGCTTTGGCTCGGCTCCAACATGTCGAGCCGACGGGAATTGTCACCATGCGCATGGTGCCAACCAACAAACCCATGTCGCTTTGCAGTGAATCCAGCTTCCACCCGACCTCACAAGTCTTCAGAGCGACAGGCCTAGGTCCCCTGGCGCATGGTATTCCTGCGGGGGTGGAGCGGCTTTCGATCACGATGATTCGTTGCGGATGTATCTCGCATGAGACCTAGTGGCATCCGGAGCGGCATCAAGACTGATTGGCGGCGAGCCTCTGCGGCCCGGGGACCCCACGAGCCATGGCCGAGCTAATGCCTCCATGGCTTTGGCGGGTCGTCTGGGGGAGTGGCCATTCAGCGCCCGTCGTTATAACCGGCCGGACAACGAGCATGTTCGACTGCTCGTCCATCTGGAGATGCAGCATCGAAAGCACCAAGCTCACCTGATTGTTGCATCGCTCCAAACCTAGGCACAACTGATCGGTCGTCCTGCTGATCCCTGCTGCATCGAGACCCAGTCACCATCAGCAGTTCACCAGAGGCGAGGCTCGATCGCCAGACCAACCCAGATCCCAGTCCAACCAACCCCGCGCCAAAGTTCGACGTTGGAACAGGCAAAATTCCAGATCGACTCGAAAGCGCATACTGGCAGTCTCTGTCAGCTGTCACACCGGCTCCAGACTCGGGACCTCACCATACCTGTTGTCAGACAGAAAGGCTCGGCTCCAGCACCATGGACAACATTGACCCGAATCTCACTCTTCACTATGATGCCCCTGCGGCCTCGTGGTCGGAGGCCCTGCCAGTCGGCAACGGCCGGTTGGGCGGCATGGTATATGGGCGAACGTCGACCGAGCTCCTTCAGCTGAACGAAGACTCGGTCTGGTACGGCGGGCCTCAGGACAGGACCCCCCGAGATGCGCGCCGCCACCTCGACACCCTGCGCCAGCTGATCCGAGATGAGGAGCACGCCGCCGCCGAGGCCCTCGTGCGCGAAGCCTTCTTCGCCACACCCGCGAGTATGCGGCACAGTGAGCCACTCGGGAACTGCACACTCGAATTCGGCCATGAGGCGCAGGACGTGACTGGCTACCGTCGGTCCCTTGACCTGGCCACTGCTCAAGCAACAGTCGAGTACCAGTGTAGAGGCGTCTCCTACCGACGGGAAACCATTGCAAGTTTTCCCGACAATGTCGTCGCCCTGCGCTTCTCTGCGTCGGAGCCTACAAGGTTCGTCGTTAGGCTCAACAGGGTTAGCGAGATTGAGTGGGAGACAAACGAATTTCTGGACAGCATACAGGCCGCCAACGGGCGCATTGTCCTCAATGCCACCCCTGGTGGCAAGAACAGCAATCCACTCTCGCTCGTCCTGGGCATATCGTGCGACGCCAGTGATGATGGAGGATCAATCGAAGCCATTGGCAACGCCCTCGTGGTGAAGGCTTTCAGTTGCACTCTAGTCATTGCTGCTCACACGGCATTTCGAAATGCTGACCCCGAAGCTGCTGCGCGCCAAGATGTTGACAATGCTCTGAAGCGGAGCTGGCATGAACTCGTGCTGCGCCAGCGGACTGACTATGCCAGCCTCTTCCAACGGTCGAGTCTCCGCATGTGGCCCGCTGCGCATGACCTGCCGACGAATGAACGAATCGAAAAGAATCGGGATCCGGGACTTGTCGCTCTGTACTACAACTATGGGCGATATCTCCTCATCTCATCCAGCAGAGATTCGGACAAGGCGTTGCCAGCGACCTTGCAGGGCATCTGGAACCCATCGTTTGCACCACCCTGGGGCTGCAAGTATACGATCAACATTAACCTGCAGATGAATTACTGGCTGGCAGCGCCCGGCAACCTTGTCGAGTGCGCGCTGCCCATGCTGGGTCTGGTCGAGAGAATGGCCGTCAGAGGCGCCAAGACGGCGAGGATAATGTACGACTGCGGCGGATGGTGTGCGCATCACAACACCGATATCTGGGCAGACACCGACCCGCAGGACCGCTGGATGCCCTCCACCATCTGGCCCCTCGGAGGCGTCTGGCTCTGCATCGACGTGTTGGAGATGTTGCTGTATCACTATGACCGGAAATTACACGAACGAGCGGCGGTTCTGCTGGAAGGTTGCATCGTCTTCCTGTTAGACTTCTTGATCCCGTCAGCTTGCAGGACGTTTCTTGTGACCAATCCGTCGCTCTCGCCAGAAAACACATTTGTATCCAAGTCGGGTGACACAGGCATACTCTGCGAGGGTTCAGCCATTGACACGACCATTGTCCGTATTGCTTTTGAGAAATTTCTTTGGAGCACTGCCATTCTTGAAAAGGGCAATCCACTTGTGCCCAAGGTCCGAGATGCCATGGCCAGGCTGCCTGATCTGACGATCAACAACGACGGTCTCATTCAAGAATGGGGTCTCAAGGACTACAAGGAGCACGAGCCAGGTCATCGACATGTCTCTCATCTCTTCGGACTTTACCCAGGCGAGAGCATCAGCCCCGTCACTTCACCGAAGCTCGCAGCTGCGGCGAAGAACGTCCTCGATAGGAGAGCGGCGCACGGTGGCGGTCACACCGGCTGGAGCAGGGCCTGGCTGCTGAACCTGCATGCTCGATTGCACGACGCCGACGGATGTGGCATTCATATGGACAACTTGTTGAAGAGTTCCACGTTGCCTAACATGCTGGACAACCATCCCCCGTTTCAGATTGATGGAAACTTTGGCGGAGCGGCGGGCATTTTGGAGTGTATAGTGCAATCGCGGATCGTCTGGGGAGCATCACGGCCGGACTGCATAGAGATACGCTTGCTGCCGGCCTGCCCAGATGCGTGGTCGGCTGGCGAGCTGAGGGGCGTGCGGGTCAAAGGCGGGTGGTTGGTGAGTCTGGCCTGGAAAGATGGTCGAATCGAGGAGCCTATTGAGCTCGAGGCAACCGACCTAGAATGCCCTGAAGTTCGTGTCTTCTTCCCTGGTGGTTCAGCAGTTGTGGTGCGGGCTAGCGGGCCAGGAAAACAAAGTGTACGACAGCCATGAGAGAGAGAATACAATTCAGAGCTAGGTAGAACACAATGATTCATCCTCGCGACAGGAGCGACAAAATGATGTTGTTGGTCGCCCCACCTCACAAGGCCGTTTATTCATGGGCTTTCACGAAGCTTCAGCCACAACACAGCCTCGCTGGTGCATTCAAGCCACCCCCGCCGCCCATGCCCCGCTATTTCCCAGTGGCAGCTGCCCCCCAGCGCTTGTCGCCTGGCCGTTGCGTCGATCCGCCAGCTTTTGTCGTCCCAAGCCAAGCTTGTGAACGGATGAAGTCATCGCAAACACCACATTTCGCGAGACTGACTTTTGCGACTGCCACCAACACGTTTATCCGACCATAATTCATCGCATACCTTTACTGGCCAAGCCACACACTCTCGCGCAAGCAGCGCCCTCTTGGCAATCCCTCCAGCCAACATGACAAGGTACGGATCATCGACTCGTGGACTACCTTCCCCTCCGAGTTCACTGTGTGTAGGCTAACGCGCATAATCACAGCATTTCCAACATTCTCTCCTTGCCGTTTCGCAAATCGAATCACATTTCTTTGTCGACCGCCATTCGACAGTACATCAACACGAAATATGACCAACATCCAGACATGTTCCGTCAGGACCTGGAGACGATAGACAGCCTCCGTCGCAATGCTGTCAACGTGCGCGACCCGCACCCGAGCGGCATCAAGGAGCTGCAGACATATGCGGGACAGCTCATGTGGATTGGCGGAAAGTTTCCGATCGATGTAAGAACGCCGCAAGCTCTTCAAGTCGTCCAAAGAAAGTATAGAGCAGGAAAGCTGATCGTAGACACTGTGTTTCTCTGCAGATCGGCGCCGAATTCACATGGTACCCTGCCCTGGGCTACAACACCGAGAGACCAGTCGTGCGCAACAATCTCAAATACGAGCTCCTGAATATCCTCTACAACCTCGCCGCCCTCTACTCCCAACTCGCCGTCGCGCAGACTAACAGCGGCCCCGAAGGCGTCAAGAAGGCTGTGCCGTACTTCAACCTGGCCGCGGGCGTCCTGTCGTACATGCAGAAAGAGGTCCTGCCCGAGCTGCGCATGTCGGATCCGCCCGAGGACATGGACACACATACGCTCGAGGCGCTGATTCAGCTTCTTCTGGCGCAGAGCCAGGAGTGCTTCTGGAAAAAGGCCGTCATGGACGGGACGTACAAAGATGCCATCATCGCGAGGCTGGCGGCACGCGTTTCGGATCTCTACAGCACGGCGGGGGATGCGGCCATGAAGAGCGAGGCGATCAGCTCGTCGTGGATCCACCACATGAGCGCGAAGCACCACCACTTTGCAGGCGCGCGCAGTACCGTGCTGCATGCGATTGCTTGGAAAAGAAGAAGTACGGCGAGGAGGTGGCCCGGTTGACAGACGCCGTGCAATGCGTCAACGAGGGGTTGAAAGAGGCACGCGGGGGTTATGTCAGCAAGACGATCATCGAGGACCTGAACGGACTGAAGAGGAAAGTCGAAGAGGACCTGAAGCGAGCGGAGAAGGACAATGATTTGATCTACATGGGTACGTCATGGCACTTGTCTGACGGAAGCCGTCAACTAATCAAAAGCAGACCCCGTTCCGCCCAAACCAGAATTGAAGCTCCTCGACCGGGCTGACATGGCCAAGATCACGGTTCCCCCTCAGGTTGCCAACCCCTTCGACTACTTTGGCGACCAGGCCGAGTTTGGTCCCGCGTTGTTCTCCAAGCTTGTTCCCTTCGCCGTTCACGCCGCTATTACTATCTACGAGCAGCGCCGCGATCGTCTCGTAAACCAGAGCATAATCCAGAACTTGGAGGATCTCACGGAAAGGCTGCACACGATGCTGAGCTCCATTAACCTTCCGGGCTCCCTACAGGCTCTGGAGAAGCCACTTGGCTTGCCGCCAAGTCTGGTACAACACGCCGAAGAAATCCGACAAGCCGACGCGATAGGCCGCATTCAACGGGCGTTTTCTGATATCGACAAACTGCGATCAGCAGACATTGCTGTCTTTGATGAAGGCAAGTCCATGCTGGCCGCGGAGGAAGAGGAGGATGCTCGTCGACGGGCCAAATTTGGCACAGACCGATGGACAAGGCCAGACAGCCGCAGCGACCCTCGCGGCGCGCAGCTCTGGGCCCAAGTGGCCGAGATCGACGGCTACTTTGCGAGCAGCACCAGCAGCGACGAGGTTGTGCGCGACAAGTTTGGACAAACACAAGACCTCCTTGAGCTCCTGTCCGCACCGGATCGCGTTCTCATGGATTACGTCCCTTCGAGCCGACGCATGGACATCGCCGAGCCCCTGAAGCCGGTCATAGGACGGCTGCGCGGTGCGTACAACGACGTCCTGCGTCTGGAGTCTCGTCGCAGGAAAAAGGTGGAGGCCCTGCGCGACAAGTGTCGTAACGACGACATCAAGCCGGAGATTCTCAAGGAAGCGGCGCGACTCGAAAGGACGTACCCCACCACGGCGATTGCGCCCGCGCACTTTGAAGACTTCTTCGAGCGACGACTGGACAAAGCTCTACGAGCCAGAACTCGAAGGCGTCGAGAAGGAGGACGCTGAGCAGGAACGCATGATGACCGAGATTGAGCGCGTCAACCGCGAAATTCGAGAGCCAGCGAAAGAGCAGCATCGGCGGGGAACCGCGGAGCGTGAGCAAGCCCTCCAGCGACTCGACAACGCGTATTACAAGTACAAGGAGATTGTCAACCACCTCGATGTCGGGCGCAAGTTCTACAATGACCTCAGCAAGGTTGTCGGGCAGAACTTCCGGGATCCGGTCAAAGTATGGGTGTCGGAGCGGCGCATCGACGCCAAGAGCCTCGAGGAGTACGTTGCCTCGGTCGCACTTGGGGAACGAGGGAGCTAACCATGCGTTCAGGGAACTCAGCATGCCGCCGCTCGGCTCGCTCAGCATGAACAGAACACCTGTTGCTTCGCCACCCGTGTCGAGCTACCAGGCCGAGCAGCAGCAACACGCAAACTCGTACTTTGGCTCGAACGCCGGTCCCGCTGCCAATACGCACGCGCAACGGCCGCACCAGCAGGTCCACAGCCCGCCCGCCGAAGCGCATGTGCAGTCCTGGGCCGGCTCTACTGTCGAGCCGCAGCAGCCGCAACCCGTGCCGCCCGTGTCGAACATGTGGACGCCGGACATGGGTATCCGATTTGGAGGGCCCGCCGGCGGACATGGCGCGGCTGCGCCGGCCGCCCATCCGCCGGGACCAAGGCAGGCCTCGGGCGGGACGTGGGATCCCAACTCGGGCATTCGTTTCGGCTAGGACCTGAATCGCGCGCCGAGGACAAGGCATTGAGCTGATTGTGCGCGCGGCGATGCAAGAAGGAAGCAAGCGAGCATTGAATCCATGATGAAATCCATGATGAAATCCATGATGAAATCCATGATGAAATCCATGATGAAATCCATGATGAAATCCATGATGAAATCCATGATGAAATCCATGATGAAATCCATGATGAAATCCATGATGAAATCCATGATGAAATCCATGATGAAATCCATGATGGAAGAACTACAATATGTGCATCCACGCTTTGGTCTCGGTTGGATACTCGTCACCTGCGCATCGTGATCCTCACCACAACAGCCCACCCATTCATGCTCTCCCAGATGCCCAATTCGTTCTCCTTCCGAAACGAGACCTCCTCCGCCGTGACCTTCATCTCGTCCCCCGCGCGGCCCCCCAGCGTCGGACCCCTTCTCCCATCAGGCCTCAGCAGCGCCGCCAGCCTCATGGGCAGCGCCTCGTCCCTCCACCACCACCAGCCCTTCTTCGCCGCCGCCGCCGCCGCCCCGCCGTCGCCGCCGCCATCCTCCCATCGCCCCACTCGTCAAACTCGCGCGTCGAAGCCGACGCGGCGGCCGGCGGCGCGTCACCGTCGTCGGACGACGAATCACCGACAACACCCTTGCCGTCCCGCACGCGCACCGTCTGCCAGAGCTCGTCGGGCGCGTCGGCCTTCTCGCTCGGGTGCCACGACGGCGGGACGGCGGCGGCGGGCACGAGGGTCAACTGGCCGGCGCGGTGCGGTGGGGCGCCGCGACGGGGCGCCGCGTGCAGGGCGGCGAGGTGGGCTTCGACGTCGGGGATGAGGAGGGTGGTGAGGTCTCGTTCGTGCGTGTCGATGACGGGGTGGCGGGTGCGGAGGCGGGCGGCTAGCGTGGCGAGGTGCGCTGAGACGGTTGCTGCTGGAGATGGGGAGGACGAGGAAGGAGACGACGACGACGACGACGGGGACGAGAAGATGGCCTCGCTGTAGGAGGGGGGAGCGTCTGGGTCGCGTTTGGACATGGTTTGCTAGTGGTGCGGCTGCCGGGGCGGAGACGTGGTGGGAGAGCCTTGCTCGGATTCACACTGGTGTAGGTGTAGATTTGGGCCAGGGTCAGCCTATGCGTTTGTGCTCCAATGCGGTTGTGTGATTTGAGGAATGGAGCCGGACGAGTCGAGAAAGTGAGGAGAGAAAGGATGCAGCCGGGAAGTCAGGCGTTCGTCCAGTGCGATGATGACAGCGGTCACAGGTATCGCCAAGTCTGTGGGGGCGGGCTTCTCGGACGTCTTGCAGGCCTCAAATTCAGTGGATTGATCCCTTGAGGAACGACCTCAGCGAGCGGCACGTTTGGAGCCATCATGCCAGGGAGGCTGAGGAGCCTTAGGGAGCCTCACTCGACAAGCCATGACAGTAATATTCCTCCGACACCTGAACTCGTGACCACGTCAGAGGGGCCAGGACGTAGGTAAGCTCGGTGCGGTAGGTACAGTGCAGGCCACCCAGTCAGGCCTAGGTAAGTGAAGGAACCCACCAGCTTGCCTAGGTAGGTACCTTAAGGTAAGGTACCTAGGTACCTACTTCAGGCACGCGTGCCAACCCAACATCCTCACCTCCTGACCTGCCAACCTGGCTGGATTCGCGGCGTTCTTCGATGCCTGCGGGAGACCTTCCACGCACCCCCTGCCTGTGATTCTCTGGTCTGTGGTGCGTTCATTTCGTGGCCTGTTGGCCTGTTGGTGATGGCCTGGGCTGTTGTGCTTGCCTGTAGTGGCTGATTCAGCTTGCTGTTAGGCAACACCCGGGAAAGCCTCCATCTGTTCATCACTTCCCTCTTGTCACTTCCCTCTTGTCACTTCCCTCTTGTCACTTCCCTCTTGTCACTTCCCTCTTGTCACTTCCCTCTTGATACCTCCCTCTCCCCCATGCCGTCTCGTTCACGTGCGCAATGGCCGCCAAGCAGGAGGAACAACAGCCGGCACGGCGCCTTTGTAAAGAGAAGCTTGCGGCCGCGGGAGTTCCGCACCAACTATCAAGGCCTGCACATCCCTCGACTGAACAAGGAGAGATTCATGAACGAAGCAGAGCCGTTGCGATTCATTCGCTCGCACACCGATATCCCGGTCCCGACTGTGTACTGCGACTTCCAAGAGGACGAAGCCTACTACCTGATCACCGAGTACGTCGAGGGCGTCGGCATGTCGGCGCTCTCCGAAGATGAAAAGGCCACGGTGTGGGAGGAGCTCCAGATTCATCTCGCGAAGCTCAGAGCCCTCACGTCCAACACAGTCGGCGGGCCATCCGGGTCTTGTGATCCCCCCGTACCGAGCTCTGCGGCTTGCAGATGTTGACGCTTGGTCTCTGCGGCCCGCCGATCAAGAGGAATACGTCTTCTGTCATAATGATCTGTCCCAGCAGAACGTCATCGTCAACCCGGAGACGCTGCAGATCAATGCCGTCATCGACGGGCAATACGCAGGCTTCTATCCGCCACGCTTCGAGTGGCCGTTCTTCAACCGGCTAGGTCCTTCCGTGGCCATCCATGGTGAGATTGACGACGCCTCTGATATCCTCGAGTTTCTTACTTTGCAGGTGAGAATCACTTTGCAGCGCGATGCAGTGAGGATCGGCTAACTATGGGTGAAACATGACCGACATCCAAGCCAGTGATGCAGATGCAGGGCAGATATGATGGCACCCGGTGGTTCGATTCTTCTATCGATGGAGGTTCGTACCATTGCATGCCGAATTTCAGTTCACGACGAGGACTGTCTTCCAATGATTTATATTGCATCATTGAGCTTGACCATCATGTATAACAGCTGTGAAAAGACAGGCACGGAATGCCGTTGGATCGAGCGAGAACTCCCCCAATATCGATACTCGCTTCCGTGGATCCTCTGACGTAGCCCTGCCACCTTCATCTCACCCTTTTCAAGTGATGTGACCAAGGCATACCATCTACGGAACGCCCATGAACCTCATGTTCTGCCGCCAGGTGTCGCCGAAGACAGTGCAAGGCTTTGGGTACCAGTTCCTATTGTCATACCAAACCCCGGCCACTTGCAAAAGGGGCGATGAGGCCATAGCTGCAATTTTTTTTTCTTTCATGTACCTACCGTATGTCCTTGCATTGTTCGAGATGTGATGTGGAAGTTATGGGCCCATGTCGACGGGACGGCACAAACTTGAATGGGGGTCGTATGTGCCGACAATGATGACCTCCACCACTAACCGAACGTGTCACCAGGCTCACCCATGTTCACATCAGGTACATGGCTCTTGCAGCTCACGACCTACAACCACCGCACTTTTCGCACAACAAGCACGTCCGAAGCCCACGCAACTCGACATCCTTGCGACCAGCATCATTCACGCCCGTCGGAAACCACAACCATGTCCCGCCAATCCGAACAAGCCCAAGCCTTTGCCTACGCCGTCTACGCCGCCGTCCAGGAGATCCCCCGCGGCAAGGTAACCTCCTACGGCCACATCGCCGCCCTCATCGGCACCCGTACGTATTCCACCCGCCCTGCGCCCCCCCCTTGTGCATGGTCCTGGCGCTGACGCTTCCCCCGTGCCGCCCGCCTAAAGCCGAACGCCCACGTCAGGTTGGCACCGCCCTGCGTCACCTGCCCGCCGCCGCCGCCGCCGCCCTGCCCTTCCACGCCGCCAACGTCCCCTGGCAGCGCGTCATCTCCGCCCGCGGCCTCATCTCCCCGCGCGCGGCGGCGACGGCGGCGACGGCACGGCCGCCCAGGCCGAGCCCTGCGCCGCCGAGG